ACAATATTATGCAGGAGAATTTGAAACATCCTAAAGTAGAAAGTGTTTTTAAAGTGTATAAGGACCTGAATATAAACCTGTATGCACCACAATGAAGAGAAATATAAAAATCATGACTCTCTTTTCTAAAATATAACAAAAACCCCTCATGTCCATTATAGAATCCATAATCACTACAGTAAAAGTAAAAATTTGTCAGGGAAAAATCTACTTAAAACATTTGATTATATTACAATACATATTATAAAAAGTATGCTCAATATTTTATCATATAAATATACCAATGCAGGAGCCGGGGAGATGGCTCAGTGGAATAAGTGCTTCCCTGGCAAGTGCAAAGGACTGAGTTCAATCCCCAGTTCCACCAAAAAAATAAATAAATAAATGTACCAATGCAAAATGTCACTTAATATTTACATGAAAATTATTGGCCTTAAGTATAGCACTTGCTATATGTATGTTAAACATATAAGAATCTCTGTTAAGGAATAAAATTTTAAACTAAAATTATTGGAGAACACACACAAAGGATGGTGACACTAACATTAATTTATGTGCAAAGCGAAAATAAGCGTATAAAATATATGCCAATTTGCCAGTAGAAATATATATGGTACAGCAAATGCTTTGGATCTGCCAAGTCAAATGTATGAGCATATGTCATTACAGACTAAATGAAATAAGGCAATTGGTGCTGTTCATTTAAAATTTATTTTACAACTTGTAGATTTATATCCACACATTTATAGTAATTTCTGCATTAGACAAATTACATAGATTTTTAAAGCATAGTTCATGAAATACATTAAGGATACATTTGAAGAAACATAAATAGGACAACCACTAAGAATATATCTTAAAAGTAGCATTTGATAACATGTGAAATTCACATCATACTTTGATAGCAGAAATTACATAAAAATTGACAGGTTTTATTCTAAGGAAATAAAGATTGCATACTGATCTTTTTCTTCAGGAAACCAAGATTTTATGATCACAGAAAACCATTGTTGCTGACTCTGGTTCCACAGGAAACAGTGAGTGGCTGTCACTCTGGACTTTTCTTGGCAAATGCGTCCTCTACTTGACTTCCCTTGCTAGAAAGGAAAACACTGAGCAACCTAGTGAAGGTCACATTCCTCAGCTAGGTCCTGATAACAGAAGGTGACATCAGCCAGGACTCTGTTGAGACATACACTGAGCCTTGTGTGTGGAAACCCAGACAACTATCAACCTACAAGGCTAAAACAAACTTGGAGGGCAAAGGAATGAGGCCCTTATGAAGACTAGAGGTGCAATCAGTCGGTAATTCATTTAAAATTCCTCGAGTGCTTCCTAAGTTACAATTTCTGTTTTCCAGGTAGAGTAAAAAACCATACACCTACAGAATGATCTTATTTATGAATTTATTTATTATGTATTTAGTACAGGGTCTAGAGCGTCTCATTACAAAGATCACACGTGTAAGATTCTCCTGTTTTCAGCCTCCCAAGCGCTGGGACTCTAGGCTAGCACCACCACGCCCAGGCTCAGTCTCTCTCGGTGTACTGGGGGCGGGGCCAGCATGGCATGCTGGGGATCACACCCTGGTCTCTGCGCTCTGCCTCAGCATGTGCTTTTGTCCACTGAGCCATCTTGCAGTCCCCAGAATGACTTTATTGTACATTTTTGTATGTGTTCAGTCACATCACAGAAGTGCACAGTACAGAGATCACCATTCCACACAGTTAGAACCGTGTTATGATTCCTGTCCTCTGTGAGCCCTCTCCTGCTGGGTCCTATAAGAACACTGGCTGTAGGCTTTTGGATACAAATAAATTCAGCAAGATTTCTCTGACTTGTGCCTTTGCTTGGGGAGTTTATTTACCAACTAAAACATTTGTAAAGCAATGACCTTCATATACATTCTCTCATGTGTGTCTTCTCATGTGTACCTGTTGAAGGCAACAGCATGAAAGCTTTCTCACACAGGCGACATTCATATGACGCCTCTCCTCCCTGTGCTCTCATGTATCTACCATGGTGATTACACAGAAGGCTGCTCCACACATGACATTAAATTGTTTTCTCTTGTGCATATTTTCTCATGTTTAGTAAGGTGAGACGATCGAGTGAAAGCCCTCCCTCATAGATGACATTCATAATTTTTCACCCGCATGTGTCTTCTCATGCCTGGTAAGGTGACCTGATTGAGTGAAGGCTTTCCCACACAGACGGCATTCATATGGTTTCTCTCCTGTGTGTGTTCTCTTATGGATAATAAGGTTAGATAAGTGATGAAAGGCCTTCCCACACAGATGGCATTCATGTGGTTTCTCTCCTGTGTGTGTTCTCTCATGGCGAACAAGGTCAGAAGACTGAATGAAGGCCTTCCCACATAGATGGCATTCATGAGGTTTTTCTCCACTATGTGTTCTCTTATGAAATTTAAGGGTTTTAAGAAGAGTAAAAGCTTTTTGACATACATTACATTCATATGGTTTTTCTCTACTATGTGTTCTTGCATGCATAGTAAGGGCAGATGACTGAATGAAGGCTTTTCCACATAGATGGCATTCATATGGTTTTTCTCCTGTGTGTGTTCTCTGATGAATTTTAAGGAAATTAGAATGAATAAAAGCCTTCTGACACACATTACATTCATATGGTTTTTCACCTGTGTGTTTTCTCTCATGACAAATAAGGTTGTATGATTCAGTGAAGGCTTTTCCACATAGATGGCATTCATATGGTTTTTCTCCTGTGTGTGTTCTCATATGAATATTAAGGGTTCCACAGCGAGAAAAAGCTTTACCACATGTGTTACATTCATATGGTTTCTCTCCTGTGTGTGTTCTCTCATGACGAGTTAGGTTATATAGTTGAATGAAGGCCTTCCCACAGAGATGGCATTCATATGGCTTTTCCCCTGTGTGTGTTCTCATGTGAATTTTAAGGGAATTGCAATTAGCAAATGATTTCTGACACACACTGCATTCATGTGGTCTCTCTCCTGTGTGTGTTCTCTCATGGCAAATTAGGTTACATGATTGGGTAAAGACTTTTCCACATAGATGACATGCATATGGTTTTTCTCCTGCGTGTGTTCTCTTATGTATTTTAAAGGTTTCATGATGAGTAAATGCTTTTTGACACATATTCCATTCAGATGGCTTCTCTGCTGCGTGTGTTCTCTCATGCCTTCTAAGATCATATTGCCTATTAAAGGCCTTCCCCCATATAAAGAACTCATATGGATTCTCTCCTGTGTGTATTCTCATATGAGATTTCAGACTACATGAATTCTTGTACATTTTCCTACATTGATGACACTTATAAAGCATTTTATCAGTGAGTGTTTTCTGATTGTGATAACATTTAGCAGATTGACTGAAGTTTGTTCCCAACATGCAGAGTTCATTTCCAGATTCAGTAGTCTCTTGTCTTAATTCTGACTGATATATGAAGGGTTTACTACAGAGATTGCCTTCAAGATGTATCTCCTCATTCTGAGCATTTTCCTGCTGTTTAAATTTGAAATATTAGTTTGATTTAAAACATAGCAATTCATGCATATATAATTTCAGAGTATTTTGTAAAATATTTCTTAAGTATCTTAACATTTATTGTCCATTTTGATTGCAAATTATACTGTTTCGTGAGTTATTAATCGTTTCTCATTTGATAATGTATATAATATTTGCTTTAATGAAACATTCCTTTGTCTCTTCATGTTTGAATTCTGTAGAAAATGTAATTTCCACTGTCACTGTACATATACAGTGTGAATATAGAATGTGATTTAAGAAATTTTTGATGTCAGAGGAATGAGCTAAACCTCTTAACTCATTTCAGCTGAACGGTGTTTTTCAGTACGAATGATCTATTGTGGATCGCAAATCAGCTCTTGTTTATTACATGCTCATATATCTTCATATACTATGTCATCTAAATAATAATTCTAGGTTAATCCATGAATTCAAGAGATAACGAATTTGGTTTTATTTACATACAAGTATAATAATTCCAGGTTGGAAAAATATTTTTATCTACATTATCAAATGTAAGTTGTAAATTTAGGTAAAACTATGCTTTTGTTATGATTATTCATAATGATTCAGAACTTATTTTACATTTTAAATAATCTCAAAGTATCCAGAGCATATGGTGTAGACATTCCCTCTTAATGCCTTACAGAGAGCTATCCCGCATAAATGTTCCCTGTAGTCACTGAAAGTACTTTCAAGTCTGTGCTAGCATTCATGAAGAGAAAACTTACCCGGGGCTTGACGCTGTCTGGCTTCTTCCTTTTCACAGGTCCAGTGGCTATCTGTCCCCCGGCATCAGGGCTGTTGTTTTTCTCTGTAATAATTAGAAACACAAACAAGGAACATGAAATTTTAAAATGAAAACGACAAACTCCTTGAAGTGCCATGTATCGGCTGCTCGACAATAGGCTTTTTTGTCCACTCAGTATGAGGATTCCACAAGGAATCTGACTTGGAACGTGGACACACACATAGAGAAGGGCTGACAGCGTGCTGAGTTCTCAGTAGTTCATGCCACATATCAGGATGGAATTGAAAAACTGCATGAAACCTAATGATAATAGGAACATGAAGTGCCTCACACTTTGGGACTCTGAGTACCTTCTACTTATAAGGCTGTAACTATTACTTACAACTTTAAACATCTAAGTTATCTCAAGAAAAATATTTAATGTCAAGTAAATAATGATAACAAAGCAAGAATTACCCAATTAGATAATAAGTGATCATATTTGCATTGAATGAATTAGGTATGAAATGAGATGTTAATAAGAAAACAAAGTTGGATTTTTTTTTTTTTTTTTTAATGTAGTTAGGATCTACAGGGTCTCACAGCGCAGATCAGACTTGTAGTGGTCTGTCCTGTTTCTCAGCCTCCCAAGTGCTGGGGCTACAGGTGCGCCCCACCAGGCCCAGCCTCAGTCACCATCTCAGCGGGCCCCAGGGGTGCTGCCAGCACAGCAGGCCGGCATCGAACCCCAGAGCCTGCGTCTGCCTAAGCAGGCGCTTTAACCCGCTGAGCTGTCTGGCTGGCCCTTCAAGCAAAGAAAGACTTACGTTAAAATTTTTAAAATGTTCCTCTATTTTTGTGGTATATATTTCTTGTATAGGAAATTTATATTCACCTTTGTAGTGGACAAATGTATGAAATATAATATTTAAAAAAATATCCATTTTTTTTCAATTCACTCACCCATCTTTAAATCTTTTCACCCATTTTCTGTTTTGTTTATAGCTCATGTTATCGTTGCTCATATTTTTGTTGTTTTTTGAAGAATAAAAAGTAATAATAGAAAAGGAGCATCAGAAAGGATATAAAATTTCACTAAGCAAAGTAACAGGAATTCAAAAATGGTTGCTGTATTGCCTGCTGTTATCTTCAAATTAGTTGTTTAGGTTACATAATATAAAGGTGCAAAATTCATTTAGAAAAAACAGAGAAGTTAAAACAAATCAAAAAGAAAAAATAGTAAGACTAAAAAACTGCTCATTTCAATAGACCATCAGATGTTGGCACTACAATTATCCAAATAATCCTGCATGTATATAGATACATAGATATATAGATATATATATATACACACATACATATATATCCTTTTTTTTTCTCCTTTTCCTCATTCCAATTTTTCCTTCCTATTGAACAAATTCTTTCTCCATCACAGTATCTATTGTTCATTTCAGAATTTATTTACTCTTTCAGGTTCTCACAGTAGCAAGAAAATATGACAGTTCAAACCTGTTTTTGATGTGAACTATTATAGGAGTCTAGAGCCAGTATATTACATGTCGTAAATCTTCATTTACCTTGATCGTCCTCTCAGTGTCCGGCCTGTCTCACCTATGTGAGACATCTATGCTATTTAATTTCTTCTGTATATTTTAATTCTATTTTTTTCTTAGTTTGCCGTACCTAAATGAAGGACAGCATGCACTGTGCAAGCTCGGTGTCTGATTCAATTTCATCCACATATTTCTCAGGCGCTTCTACTTTGTTTCAAATTCATCAGTCTTTGGAGAGAAGCCATATGTTATCTTTTTCTGACACCACATTTCTGAATACTTGAATTGTTGTGGGACATAAGGTGGTTCATGGATTTAGCTCTTACGAATTGTGCTGCTATAACTATTTGGATGTACGTACGACTCTGCTATGATGTAGAGGGCACTTTTGGAAAAATAAGAATTGTAAAAACGGGTCATATGAAATTTCTGCATTCACTTCGATGGGAAATATCCACGCTGCTCTGAAGATTGGCTGTGGAAGTTTTCATTCCACTCACGATTTAGCAGGGTGCTTTTTTCATCCCAGACACACTATCAGTTGTTACTGTTTTTAAAAAAAGTCCCACACAAAATTAAAAAATATATATACGTATATTTTACAAACAATACAAAATTTTACTTAACAAAATAATAGCAATTCAACAATAGTTGCTGTATTGCATATTATTGTGTTCAAATCAGTTGTTCAGGGTGCCTGGTTGTTATTTTGCACTTGTTCTAGGTTGCCTTGTGCGAGTGCAGGAAACTTTATGGGTTTCACCTATACTTCTCTCACGGCCACTGATATCCAAGGTTTTTTCATGTTTTTGGACATTTGTAAACGTTTTGATCAGTACTGTTCATCTCATTTGCAAATTTTATGCTTGGATCTCTTATTTTATGTGATGTAATTTGTTTGAATCCTTTTATACTCTGCAGAACAGTCTCCATGTAAAGAAGACCTGGCGAGGTGTTTGTTTTTCCAATTCCTTATGTTTTCTCTTTAATGGATTGATGAACAGATTGATTCTTAATTCTACAATTTTTAATGGTGCAATTCTGTCTGTCCTCTATATAGGCTATCTATCATGTTACCTGAAAATAACAAGTAGAACTCATCCTTTCCTACATACACCATTTTAAATTTTATCCCTTACCTGACTCCTTTAGCTGCTCTCATGAAGATTAAGTTTGACTGCATTGGCTACCATGTGCATCCTTTTTCTCATCCTTGCAGAGGGAGTGCTTTCTGCTTCCCCCCTTAAATTGATTCTAACCATTGGTAAATCATAAACTAACAGCTATTAACAAATTCTGTTAAGTTCATTCTATATCTGTGTTGCTCAGAACTTTTTAATCAAGCAGTTCTTTTGGATTTACTCAAAACTTTGATTTCATTGAGTGATATTAACATGTGAATTTAGATATCACTCCTGTTTGTATGTTGTATTTTAGGTTTTTATTTCATTTTTGGTATTCTGGTTTAAATCCTTGTTGCTCATGATACTTGGTTTTATAGTGATGACGTTCATTCTATTCACAAACATCTTCCTGAAGGTAGTTTCATCTGTGATCATTAAAAAGATTTGTCTAAAATGTTTTTTTTTTTTTGTACTTTGGTGTCTGCCTGCTTACTGAACTAGAATGGTGCAAACTTCCACAGATGAGTTGGAAAGAATCACATCATTTTCTAATTTATTAATTAGTACTAGGACTGTTACTGATATAATCTACTAGAAGATTTTATACAACTCATGATTACATAAGATAAATTTGCTAAATATTGTGATTTTTTTACTCTGTTTCAATTTGATTATTTCATTATTAACTATTTGTATATATTTTTTGTTAAGCTGTACCAATGTGCATAGATGTATAAATGCATCAATTTCTGTAAATGTCACCAGAATGTTGGGAGAAAAGAGAAAATATCATGTCCCATAGTTTTGATGCAACAAAATTGATACTAGTGTAACAAACAATGTTGAACCAGTCCTATACATTTACTGCCCTTGAAATAAAAATATTTAGTAAATTCTTCACAGCACTAGAAATATAATCCCAAAACATATAAGTGAGGACAATCCACTAAGAGAAAATGTTAAGGAAAATCTACAATCAAACAAAAGCAGACATGTCAGTGTAGCATATACAAAGTATACAACAAACAGTGAGAAAAACAGCAACATATTGACTTACGTGTACACATCTAAAATAGAATAGTGTACACTAAATAAAACACAGACATCTATGCATATATATTTTTGAAAAGATTAAATTTCCAATAATAAAAATTCAACTTTGTTAAAAAACTATTTTGAAAACTGTTCATTGACATGCAGAAGAGTAAGCTATCTTCCAAAAGTTCACTTATGAAATTTGTATACATGATAGAGTATTCCTTACTCATAATCAACACAAAAATCATGTCAAGATCGAACAGTAAATCTCTTGAAGAGACAAGACCAGGAGGGTAACCAAATATTAACTTTGTATCTCCC